AACTCATCTATAAACCATAGGGAGCCTCACATTATCTACTGCATCCATTTTAATATTTAACTTTCCTCACTGCACTGCAGCTTTGCTCTGCTCCCTGTGATGATGCGTTACCTAGAAAGCAGCACGTCTAAATTATCCCCCACTCATCATTTTCCCCCTTGTGTGTCCAGCAAAGTCAGACTTTTCTTTCCTTGATTTATTCGCAGGTAGACTCAATCTATTCAAGTAGAGGAAGTCAAGGTTCTCCCAGGACAGCAGGCGCACTGTATCACAGCTCTGGATGATAGCTGCAGTGGGAAATGTTGTACACAGTTGATGAACAGGCATAATCAAGCAGTTGCACCCTTAAAGGACCTCAAGCCTATATCCCTGGTTGATTTAGTTCAAATGAGAAGTTCATGAGGCTAGAAATCCTTAAAGCAGCAGCTTACCCTTTTTCTTTGTCAGGGTCAATATTTGTCTTAACAAGCTCCAAGACATGTTTTCAGGGTTGCTGGAATTTTTTCAGATGCTTTTTGAAGACATTTTTGGGACATATCTTTTGTTACACTCTTTCCACAGGCAAAATAAATGCAAATTAGAACGAATATTTGTGTGTATATATGTATATTTGTCTTGCTACCTTCTCATAACTGTCATATTTAAAACGTCATTACATGGCAAAGGCAATTAACTGTGTCCCATTGTTATGGTTGAAAGTGCATACGACTGTTTAAAAAAACATTTTTATGTAAATGTCACTATTTGACTTTATCTGTATTTCAGTCACACAACTCACGTGTTTCTTAATATGTTTATTATACGCAGCATATAGTTTGAGTTTGGCTTCGCCCCATTTATTTAGGATTGTTAATTTTCACATCATTGTGTAAAACAGTTATCTGTTCTGGTCATTGCTTTAGTTAATTTCCCACATTTAAACACACACGTCACTTATACAATATTCTTTTCATCTTTCATCCAGGCACTAAATTGCAAGTCTGCTCATCTTCTTCATGTCACATATTGGCCGGTGCGGCTCAGGGCTAAAGACATTTATCCAGATTATTCTTCCAGATCATAAGAAATAACAGAGGGGCTGTATATCGTCTCTGAAATCCCCTGACCAACTGTCTTTATCCAAGCATAATCTGGACTGTTTTGTATACCTCTTTTATCCTTTTCTTTGGTGAGAAAATCACAAGAAAAGGAAAGAAGTGGACTCTGGAGGCCACACAACATTTATATCACAGATTTTATGACCTTATTTTAAAAAAAAGGTTTGATGGATCCACAGGAGACAGTAACAACACCAAAACCATTTTGTGAAATATAAATTATATTTGAGAAAATATCATAATAAATATTTCACTTACATACAATTTAAATGTGTGATAGCAGCAGACCTTGTACATCGCATTACCATCATAATGTTATATAACATTTAAATGATCTGATACACTTTTAAATGCATTAAAAGAGAACCATGACTTTTTGGTTGTACTTTTGGTTTCCTGTAAAAGAAAAGTAAGACATCACAGAAAAAAAAGTAACTAAAATTCACAAAAGTCATTCAATGGACTTTTTTTTTTCTGTTTCATGTTAAATGAAATATATATATTGCATCTGGTAGAAGTAACAGTCTCTCCCACCTCAGAAAACAACAAAACACACATTTCTTAAAAGTGTTCCAATGGTAAGGACACACAAACGTTGACCATAATGTGAGTTTGGTGGTGGGATTACCACAGCAGGGCACTATGGTAATCTATCACAATGTCCTTGAGAGGAAAATCCCATGAGGAGCCCAAATGTTAAACAAAATCCTAGGAGGGGGCAGTACTGAGGCCTGAGAGAGGGACAACATTACGATACACATCTGGTGATAAGAGCTAATAGAAAACGGACATAATGCAGTTTTAATACAACTGTGGTAGGCTGGGTATAGGAGATAAGACACATAAAGCTTTCTATACAAATGTAATAGAAGATAAACAGAGTTGGAGAATGCATGTTTACCCACAATGGAAGGTCACACAGCTAAAATCTATTGCCTGGATCAAATACATTTCATTTACACAGATCCTACACATATTTGACATGTTTGAAAGCACCAACAGAAAAGCACTGATTGAGGTGCATCCATCGACACTAAACACCAACATATTATAACATCCCCAATAAGTAAGGGTTGTTTTCATGTGTACACAAAAATCTGGATGATACAACTATACACCATCACAGAAGGGAGTGTTCCTCTTTTTAGATGATCTTAGATGATCCTGTGACATTAAATGCCTTACAATGATTGATTTTACCGTATTAATACTCACTTTGGTTCTGAAAGTTAGATAAGAAGAAAAATACCACTCTTACATGTGTAGGGCAAAGAAGTAGCAAGAACTAGCAGTCAGTTAGCTTAGCTTAGCATAATGAAGCGAAAGAGCTAACCTGGCTCTGTCCAACAGTAACATAACAAGCATACTACAAAAAAAAAAGCAAATCTACAGGGGGGTTTTGTGCCGATTTATATCCTGTCAGGGAACAGTAACTTTGTGAAGGTGCTTTTAAAATGTTTTCGACAGAGCCTGGACTCTTTTCCAGACCTTATGCTAAGCTAACCAGCGCCTGAAAAAGCGCAATTCCCATACACTGACTGAAAATCAAGACCTCATAAACCCAGTGTAATATCAAAGCATCATGATACTAACTCAATCACTGTTATATTTAGAAGACTTGTCAGACGATGAAAACCTTACTCAACATTGTATCAAAATTCTCTTTCATGTAGATATTGTTTATTACATGCTGACCCTGAGGATGTGTCGGAAATGTACTGCGAAACAACTTCATAACAGTTTTCTATGGCATACAGGCAGCTACAGGAGGAGGTTGTCTGGTAACCACTGCAGTGTGTAATTCAAACAGAATATGTAGGTGTTAGCAGATGGACACAAACTGCCTGCTAAGTTAAAAAGGTGACCAAAGGATTGATAAGCTGGTAAAAAAAAGCTTACAACTTAATTAAATTGTGCCTTGGGGGGAGGCGAACAGAAACGTGCACTGACTACTGATCAGCTGCTGGTACAGATTTGTTTCCTCCTGCATCAATATTTTTGAGAGGGAACTGAAGAAAAACGTGAAATAACTACAGCTCGCCTTAAGAAACCATAATTATAAATTGGTGTTTAAATGAAAATCAGCTCTTCTGAATCAAATATTTATGATTTTTCTTAGCATTTTGTAGGGCTGGAATAGATGATTAAGGTTTTTTGGTTTTCTTTAATGGCATGCATTACATAAGCTGTCCTCTGTTTAATGGGGAATTTCTAGTTAAATGAGAGCTTTAGATTGCCAATCTAGGAATGACTAAACATGCTTTGAGAGGGAAACTAAATATTTTCATCTCAGGGACTCTGCAGGATTTATTTGGGGGTAAGTGGGGGTCATAAAATGGGGAGCGTATTTCATATTTTGACTAATGGGAGGGTAGTTTTACTTTCTGGTAGGGCATGGAATTATCTTTTATATTTCTCACCCTGGATGTATACTTGAATTTAAGCCTTCCCTTGGTATAGTTAGTTATTTAATAATTAGCTACATCAGTGCAATGCAACTCAGGCATTGTGTTGGTTAGGTGAAGTGCAATGGGGACATACAACTGATGTCATACATAAGTTACAATGGCATTTCATGTATTTTCCTTAATTTTCTTAATTCTTGGTTGAGTACTTCAGAGTTTGCAGCTCTGCCAAGGTCACTCATTGGCACACTGGCAATAGTAACAAGTTAGTCATTACCAGCCCTTAAAAAAAAGATAGTTTTACTTCCTAGGAGGTTCTTGTGTTTTTTGAAAGTCAAACACAAGATTTAGCACCTCCTCCCTGACCTAATCATTTTCATAAAGTCCCTACAGGTATATTTCTTGTAGTACAAAACACATTTTCACAGTAGGGAATAAGAGTTGTCATCATCAGTCATCTTTTCACAGTTTCAGAGTCTCAAAGAATAAGAGTATTTTTAGAGAGCGAAAGAATCGGCAGATGATGGGACACTAAAAACAAGTAATAGGGCGATGACATGTTAGAGATTACAATGCCACAAATATGGTTACTTTACCTTAAATATTTGGATCTGAGGTATGAGTTCTTTGGTATCTACAAAATATTTAGTTTCTGAGTTACGAATCAAAGCATTACAGCAACATTCTTATGGCAGCATTTCTGTAGTTCATTTTTCTTCCCATACTTTGGAGAAACAGCTGCATTGCTTGTCAATTAAACCACAAAGCACCAGATTGATGTCTTGCTTAGTTAACATTATTTTGTGTACATTCTGCAGCATTGGTTTGGCCAACGGCAGAAATCCATATGGGCTGCATGAACACACCAGCAAGCATGCCACAGCCACACCCTGACAGACTATGCATCATGACAACAGTCCAGCGAGGTGTCGAGTGTAAAGAGGGAGGCTCATCAGTCAGGAAGTGGAACCCAGTGCGGGACTGGCTGCTACAGCTGCCAGTACAGCAGAACAGAGCTGCCAGTGTGAATAATGTTTCACTCTCACAGTTTCCATGTCCATTACACTTGAGGATATAGAACATGTTCAACAGAGAACAAATAAAGAGTGCAAACAAATGCACAAAAATACTGCAATATCTTAAAAATTTAAAGGCAAAGATGTGGTTCATTGTGCTTGGCTAAAAGTAGTTTGATCAAGGTTAAACTGGTTTACCTAATTGCATTTGAAGGTAAATTGGGTCTACATGATTCCCTTATGATAAAGTACACTGATTCAAGGAAAACCATTATAGAAAACAAAAAATAATCTATATTGACTTCTTGATGCTAAATATCCAGCATTATAATTCCATCGACGTGGCACCTATTGTTTTATTAAAAATACATCAAATATCAACATTTAAAAAATGTACACACGTGCCCTGGTTTCTCCGCTGCCTTGAGTCGCCGTCGTGCTCAGCCAAGCTTGGGCCGTGTGTCTTGGCTGTAAAAAATGACCTGCAGCAGGATGGCCACGTCGATCAGGATCTGGACCGAACTGCACACCCAGAACTGAGCCGGGCTCTCGTTCATCACAAAGTAGACGGTCTTGAAGACGTCGCCGGCTGTCCACAGCATCACCATCTTCACACTGGAGCAATGGAGGCACAGAGAGATGTGGTGAAGGTGTGCGGACACAGATAATTAAGGGGTTTTCTCTTAAATTCATTTTTCAACATTTGGGATAGCATTAATACTGGAAACATGGAGAAACAGCAAGCACGGCTCTGTCCAAAGGAAACAATTACACCTACAAGTAGATGTTTCTTGGCTCTACGTAGGGTAGGGTATACAGTAACTCCCCAAAATTATTTTTATTTTTTACACAGAGAAAATATAACTTGTTAGTAAGCTTCAATGGTAAATGGTATTTCTTTCATATAGCGCTTATCCAGTCTGAATGACTCCTCAAACTGCTTTGCAAAGTCAGCATTCATCCATTCACACCCACTAATACAGAGACAGGGGCTGCCATACAAGTAGCCACCTGCTCAATGAAGCTAACTCTCACACACATTCACACACAGTTGGCCATGCCATTGGGAGCCATTTGGGGTTAATTGAGATCGAACCCACCACCACCTCCCAGCCACAGTCGCCCCTAAGCGCTGGTAGACAGATAAATCACCTCTTGACGGAGCCCAGCTAGCTGTTTTCATATTGTTTAGACATTAGAAAGCGGTATCAACTTTCTTATATAACTTTCATTAGATATCAGCACATTTCCAAAAATGTCAAAGCATTTCCTGTTGGAGAGACATAGAGAGTGAGCAGAAAGACCTTGAAGCAGCCACTAGTAATCTGCCAGGCCAGGGGCCTGATGCCAACATAATACCCTGAAGGAGTCCTAAGAAAATGTATCACTCCTCCTAGAGTCATCACTTTCTATCTTGTCTTCATCATTTATCGTTTTCTCCCCCTGTGCTATAATCCCCCCATACATTTTGTGCCGTCTCGACTCATTTACCGTCAGGTTTCTTTAACTCTTAACCTTCAAAGTATTTGCTCCCTCCTCTGTTCTTGCGCCGATATTCTCATAGGAATGAATGTAATATGAGTTTATTATTTTTATTAGGGCTGACTGGGCCTGGGGATGGAGCCGGACCATCAGTCATCCATGACACATCCTGTAAGGGTCAGAGAGGGTTGAGGGAGAAAGGAAAGGGGAGAGACGGAGACAGAGGACAACATTTATCGAGCATGCAGTGGGAGAAACAGGGAGAAGCCAGAGAGAACGAGAGGGACCTCTGTGATTGGGGAGGAGACCTCTGTGAGACAGTTATAGAAGAGGAGTGTGTGTGGGGGCAGCCTAATGACTGTCGGGACACATGTCCTGTCCTTCAGCTCTCCTTGCAGAGTCATGTCAAAGTCCTAACTCTCCCCGGGCTCCCTTCAGGCCCCCATGGGGAGCCGAAACAATTGCGGCAAACAATCCTGCCCTGGCATGGAAACAAGGACATTATTATTCCATGTCTGAGAATGTGCTATATCTAGTCACTGAATATGCAATCAAAATGTGATCATCAACCTGGAACACGGGCTGTGTTGTAGAGCTACACGATGTGTTGCAATGGAAGTTGAACTCACAGCTGGCACAATACATGGGATGTTGAAGAAACCCGTCGGTAATAGAAATTAATCTGTTCAGCTCAAAGGAATCAGAGCATGTGAAGAGAGCGGAAGTGAGAAAAACAACAAAACAGATCAAATCAAGAGGTCACACACAGATGTTCTGTTCACATCATTCCAATTCTCTGATATTACTACGACATATTAAGGAAGCTAAGTTGTTAGCGAGAGTGGTGTGAAGGTGTTTGCTAACGCTGTTCTGATTTAATGTCTGTATCATAACAACAGCTTTTATATCTGCAATCTAAGAGATCCAGTTTCCCTTTTGGAATGCTAAATACAGTATACTGCTGCGGAAAATATGTGCAAGGTGCGTGCTGTGTTCAAGTGCACCTATTTGGTGCAGTCGGTAGTTCTTTAAAATTGATTGGATGTTTGTGGGCCTCGAGACAAAAACCAAAGCACAGTGAGTAACTTTTGAAAAACAAAATATTGTAATCTTACTCTTATAAAAAAAAAAGTACTTACTTGATTCTACCTTGACGGGAAATCAGGCAGCTAATGTTAGCAGAGGTGCAATGCTTTATATAAAACATTATTGAGTTGGTTTGACTGTTTGACTCTTCTACACTCTACTAACATGTAATTGTGGCAAAAGGTGCCTTGTTCAGCAAAGTTTAGCTTTACATTGATTTGTTTCAATCCAAAACTTGTATGGATCTACTCTGAATCTGAGCGTTAAAAAACAGCCAACAATATGAAGCCAATCTGATCCTGTCAACACACAAGTCCCTTCCCGTTTGGTCCTCCTCCAATTGAACCACCCCAGGCTTTAGTCAGAATCGGGCTATTTACAGCGCTCCCAAAGGCTGACCAAGAAGTGCTTGTTTAGACCACATCTGAGTCACACTGATTTGTTTGGCTCCCCTAACAATTTTAAACCTTCGGTGCAAACACTCCAGGGTTTGATTGAACTTTTCCAAAAATAAGTGGCCCAAAGAATTTAAAATTGTCTTGCTTTTACTCTCTCTCTCTCTCAGCTGCGCCTGCCTCTCAGGGGAAATACATACTTTTTGTTCCACAGAACTTTTGAGCTCCTCAGAGCACACCCTTTGCTGAACTTCATATTTATTGTTTCATCTCTCTCCTCATCTTTCCCCTTCACTTATTTTCTTCATCTTCCCGCTCAACTGTCTTTCTTACTCTTACTGCTTCTGTCATTGCTTTCACTTCACTTCTATCTCACCTATAAAAGGGAATGAAGCTAGAGACTTTTAGCCGCTTCCAGAGCAAACCATGATACAAATCAAACACTGAATTTAGGGCACAGTAAGCTAGCTGGTTGTAGCAAATTCTCCCAAAAATAACTTGTGAGGAGGTGATACTACATTCAAAATAATGGAAGAAAATTACATCAAATGAGTGTCAATTTCTAATCAAAATAAAAAATTCATTTAATATTAGGTTTGTTATGATCCATTGAATTTTAAAATGTACAGTGTATCAGCACAACTAGCCCTGCCTTGTAATGAAGTGTGTAGAGGCCTTTTTTATCTTCAACCCTTATACTGAAAAATTAGACAAAGGTAATGCTAACAAATGTTTGCTAACTTTGTTAAATGCCATTTAGTACAGTAGCTTTAATTCTCTTGAATGTCTACTTTTCCAGTGCAGGTCTTGACTAGGAAAGCTGCACTAAAAGGTACTTCCTTTCTCCTCTTTTGAAATAACAGCTTTTCTCCACCTGATTTCAAACGTGTGCTTTTAGTTTGAAAGCCCTGTACAAGCTTGATTTGTTAAAAGAGTGACAGCCCTTATCCTCTGTTGTACTAAAGGACTCTGTAATGTTTAAGTCTGGGAACAAAAGTGTGTAGAGAGAGCCTTCACGTGGACTAACCATATTTTCCTAACATCTGTTCATTTATAACCAGATACATCTCATTAGTAGAAGAAGAATTAGATAGCATGCACATGCACTCAGAGCTGGTTAGGGCTGCAAATGACAGATTGATGGTGGGGAGAATGAAGAGGCAGATAGAAATAAATGACTACAACCATCTTTCTTTGTATTTAATGAATTCAATTTTTGTTCATCTGCCATAAAACAAATGCACCTTTTTTTTATTTGACTGCTTTTCTCATTTTATTTGGATTATACGTAATAACACTGGCTATTGTTAGGCTAATATTGCAGTAATTGTATTGTCAGTTAACTGGTGTTGAATGAATGGCAGCATTTGAAATGTGACATGAAAATGATTATAACCAATAAGGATGTATGTGTTACGATCTGTCTGTGTTGTGTTTTTGTCATGTCTGTTTCTGTCTTTGGTTTCCTGTCTCTGTGTTTCCCCTCCCATCTTGTCTGTTTCTGCTGATTGTGTGCACCTGGTGCCCGGTGTTGTCTCCTCCCCTCTCACCTGTGTCTTGTTCAGTTGATTAGTTTGTGTGCATTTAGGCTCTGGTTTTTCTGTTGGTCTTTGAGGGATTATTTATGTTGTTGGAAGGTTCTTTGTTCAGAGGGATTTTTGTATTATTTGCCTTGCCTTATTTTTACTTTGTTGCTAATCTTTGCAATAAAAGTATTTTTTGAATTTGGATATTCTGCTTTTGGGTCCTGTGTACCTTGCCCTCCAGCCGTGACAGAATAATCCCACCAAAAGATGGATCCAGCAGACAGCCTGTACGAGGTGACGTACAATTTGACATGCTTTAAAAACGACTGTCGATATGCCTCCAGTAGTGAAGAGAGGCAGTCTATTATCTCAACGGCACGCCAAGAAGTAACCTCAAGGCCCTGGTTAAGGGAGTTACTACCCGAGTGGGTGGAGGACTTTTTTGGTAGCTTTGAGGTCAAACCTGTTTCCCGGCCTGCTAGCCCCTGGCATGCTAGCCCCCTGCCGCCCACAGTTCCCAAAAAGGCTCCTTTCAAGGACCCTTTCGCTGGGTCTCGTCTGGCCTTTGGAGGACCTCTGAGCCTCCACAAGGCTTCAAAGGCAGCATGGAAGGAAACGCAAGGCCAGGATTCCAGCCCCAGCAGCCATGGTTTCCGGCTCCGGTCGCCAGTCCCAGAAGACATGGTTCAGGCCCTGGTTCCGGCCCCAGCAGCCATGGTCCCTTCCTCTAGTCCCAACTCAAGTCCCTTCTCTAGTCCCTTCTCTAGTCCTCCTCTATTCCCTCTAGTCTCCTTAGGCCTCTTTAGTCCCCTCTCTAGTCCCATCTCCAGTCCTTACTCTAGTCCCTTCTCTAGTCCCTCCTCTAGTCCCTTCTCTAGTCTCTCAAGTCCCCCTCTAGTCCCATTCCAAGTCCCTCCTCCTAGTCCCTTCCCAAGTCCCTCCTCTAGTCCCTTCTCAAGTCCCTCTCTAGTCCCTCTCTCTTAGTCCCTTCTCTAGTCCCTCTCTAGTCCCCTCTCAGTCCCTACTCTAGTCCCTCCTCTAGTCCCTTCTCTAGTCCCCTCTCTAGTCTCCTCTCGAGTCCCTCTCCAGTTTCCCTCTCTAGTCCCCTCTCGAGTCTCC